TTAGATTCAGGAACTGTCTCCAGCTGGTGGATTAGAAAAGTAGAAGAGTGAGTCAGACATACAGTATGCAGGTAGCAGGTACTGGACGGTTAAGCAGAGAAACCAGATACTCTCTTCCTTCTTTCTCCCCCCTTGTCTTTTCGTCGCTCTTCCTTTCGCTCTTCCTTCTTCCTTGTTTTCCTTGTTCAGCCTTCTTCTTGGTTTGCTACTCGCCTGCGGGTGTTCACGGCTCCACCGCGTTCGTCCGGGTCTGCCCTCAGTCGTACTGTCTCTGACTCCGTCCGCGCAGTGTCGGGCGGTGTTCGTCGCTGCCCGTTCGGGGCGAGGTCCGCGCTTAGGGGCCCTCGGGGTGCCGGCCAGTGCCGCCTGGGGCGCTGCTTGCAAAAAAAAAAGGCGGGTTCTCGCCGTGGGCTCGTCATGGGTGGTTCGCGTTCCTTATTCTGCCCTCTCTTCGTCTCCGCGACCTTTCGTCTCTTTATTTCCTGCTCTGCGCGTGGCTCTTCTTTCTCTGTACTGGGTCTGGTCTTCGTCGCGTTCCGTGGGCTCCTCCCCGCCCGGCTTGGCGCGTCGTCCGGTCTCACATTGATCGCTTGGCGGTTCGCGCGCGCCTTGTTTCCGCTCGCCTTTTGCGGTGTTCTCGTGGTTTCGTCGTTCTCGCTTCGCAGGTCGTGCCGGCGGGGTGGCTGTTCCTTTCTGGCCCTTCACTTCCCTTTGTTTTTCCTTCTTCGTCTCGCGCGTCTCGGCTCCTCGTCTTGTTCGTTCTCCGTTCTGGTTTGTTCTGCTTTTCGTTCCCGATCTTTGGCGTTTCCCGCTTCTTTCGCTCCCTTTCATCAGCTCTGCCGGCCCTTCGTGTGTTTTTCTCTGCTGCTCGGTGGGTTCCTTCCTTCCGTCCCTCCTTCTGCCGCTGTGCTGCCCCACGGCCCCCTTTTCGCCACTCTCCCTCTTCTTCCCTTGCTTTATTTTTTCTTCTCTCTTTTTCCTCCTTGCTTTTACTTTTTTCGTCTTCTCTTCGTGTGCTTTTCTCTTTCTTTTGGGTCTTTTTTTTTCCTTCCTGTGTTTGTTTTCTATCTCATTTTTATATTTCTTCTATGCTTTCTTTATCCTTTAATTTTGGGGGTGTCCCTGATTCTCGATCGATCATCCCGATCATGACTGATGCAGTAACGCAGAATTGACAACCAACTGACAATCGAGATCAGCTCCATTCTCTACATCTCCAAGTCCATGATTCGCTATCATCTTCCTCTTGTTTCGCCATTCATATCAACCACATTCGCTTGACTTCCCATCTTCCCACATCGTGAATATCGTTAAGTGATGTTTCCCCTATTTTGCCACACCCACTGACCTTTGGCCTCACAGGTGTGGAATCATTTCTTGATCTTGTTACCATTACATCATTCATGGGGGGTATGACATCATTTTTCCTCTCATTCATGGGCCGCGCGCACAGCCGTAGCGAGACAAGGACTGGGAGAGCGGTGCTGGCGGGGTGGAGCTGAAATAGGGTGTACTCTAATGGAAGAGGGGAGCTTCTTGTCAGTGTCGCTGCAAACAACCGTTAGTTCCATATTTTAAAAGTCAGGCGATTTTCGTTATTTTCAAACACGTGCCGTAAAAGCTATGCGCATGCGCACACACAACTAAATTCGCACACAGACAGACTGCTAGTTTACATAACTAAGCAACCATGATTTTCAGTCAGTAGTATACTACTTTACGTACAATTCAACCAGTTCCACTGCCATGTTCTCAGTATTTATCGTATGATATGAACACATTCTCAGTTCAAGGTCATCAGTAGTTGTCTGGTTGAGGGTTTTGGTGAAATATGGAGGATTGTGGAAGGAGCAACATGTACTGGTGGAGTGACAGTCTTCACCATCCCAGAGTGTGTCATTGGAGTGGAAGCTCCTAGGTGGTACATCACTGCCATATACATACCCTGACTCACAGAAGTAATCTTCTCCAACAAATGGTGGGATTGGTATAATACCACTCATGTCACATGGACAGGCCCATGTTGCTGATTGGTTGTACCCATTCTTTCTCGCATGGTTCAGCTGCAAATGTCCAGATGTGTTGTCGAGACTGCCATACATACACGCCACACCATCGACATAGGCACGGTCACTGTAGTTTGTCCACCGCTGTTATACCCATAGAAGGCATGCAGCACTCCCCACTGGTAGGCTCTGATCCTGCCATACACCTGACTGTATGGTCCTCCACTGACAGGGAAGAAGACTGAGTCACATGTCCTATATCCAGTGCTAACTCTGCCACAAGTTCTCTTGGAGTTTCCAGTCATATTCCAGCCAGAGGGACAGTTGGTGTTGGGGTCTGTCATATCCAGGTAGACTGCACGTCTCCAACCCCATGTTCCTCCACACTCTCTACCAACAGTGTTATAAATGATGTCTCCTGTCAGGCTCTGGTTCATTCTCATCAGTTGAGTAGTTATTTGATTGTCATGTTCCTCAATCTTGTCACATATCATATTTGCGGTGCTATTGTGTGCCTGAATATTTTGAAATAGAGTTTTGTTTATTTCTGTCAAGCTTGTCGTTACTTCAACCCCTTGTTTACTAATCTTTTTCATAATTGAGTTGTGAATGTCATGTTTGACATACATCTCGACTAACTCAAGAGCAATGGCTCCATCTGTGTGATAATTGCACATTCTCAGTTCAAGATCATCGGTAGTTGTCTGGTTGAGGGTTTTAGTGAAATATGGAGGATTGTGGAGAGAGCAACATGTACTGGTGGAGTGACAGTCTTCACCATCCCAGAGAGTGTCATTGGAGTGGAAGCTGCTAGCCGGTACACCACTGCCACGTACATACCCAGACTCACAGAAGTAATCTTCTCCAACAAATGGTGGGATCGATATGCGATTACTAGTAGTGTCACATGGGCAGAGGTGGTCACCAGGGGTCGCATTCTCAGAATTTCCAGCTGCAAATGTCCAAATATGTTGCTTAGGAATTCCATGCATTACAGCCACACCGTCAAAGTAAACCCTATCAACTGCAGTTTGCCCATGATAACTATACCCATGAAAGGCATCAGGCCCTCCATACTGGTAGGCTCTGATCCTGCCACACACCTGACTGTATGGTCCTCCACTGACAGGGAAGAAGGCTGAGTCACATGTCGCAAGTCTAGTACTAACTCTGCCACAAGTTCTCTTGGAGTATCCAGTGAGCTGCCAGCCAGAGGGACAGTTGGTGTTGGGGTCTGTTATATCCAGGTAGACTGCACGTCTCCAACCAACACCTCCACATGAATATGTGTAACCACTAATTTGTTGTGTTAGATTCTCCTTCATGTCCTTTAAATCAGATTTAATTGCAGTCTCGTGTTTTTCAATTTTGTCACACATTGCAGTGGTTGTGTTACTGACACCATTTAACTCAGTCTTGACATCATCGAAATCATCCCTCATTGATTCATTCAGAGAACTCAGTCTAGTGTCAAGTTGAGCCACTGCAGATGTTGTCTGCTGACTGTGTGTCTGTAGGTGTCCACCTAGATCACTGATGATTCCATTGACATGGCTTAACTCAATCTTGACACAGTTGAGATCATCTCTCATTGATTCATTCAGAGCACTTAGTCTAGTGTCAAGATGAGTCACTGCAGATGTAGTCTGCTGGCTGTGTGTTTGTAGGTGTCCACCTAGATCACTGATGATTCCATTGACACGGCTTAACTCAGTCTTGACACAGTTGAGATCATCTCTCATTGATTCATTCAGAGCACTTAGTCTAGTGTCAAGATGAGTCACTGCAGATGTAGTCTGCTGGCTGTGTGCTTGTAGGTGTCCACCTAGATCACTGATGATTTCGTTGACACGGCTTAATTCAGTCTTGACACAGTTGAGATCATCTCTAATGGAGCTGTTCATCATAACTACTGTCTCATTGATAGCAGAAGATCTCTCCCTAACCAACTGCCCCAGCTCTGTCTTTATATTCTCCTCCATGTTGTTCACATATGGCAGTAGAGCCCTCAATACAGCACTACGTACCGCCTCAGTAATCATGGACAGGAGAGAGGATCTCAGATCAGCTAATTCAGAGTTGACTGAAGCAAATTCAGATGCAGTTTCATTCTTGTGATGTTCCAGTTGCTCAACTAGATGACTGACTGTCTCACTGAGATTAGCTATTTCACTCTTCACACAGCTAATGTCTTCCTTCAACTCATTCAATAGGGGACTCAGAGTTTCGAACACGGCTGTTGCAACTGTAGCCCACACGCACAGTGAATTTTGACAAAGTATTTTTGTTGTTCTTACCATCAGATTGAGACTGTCCCAGCTCTACCATGGACAGTGTCACTAGACATAAGACCAGCAGAAAATACCTGTCCATCTCAGAAGGTGATCAGGCTCTCTGCAATGCATGCATGCACCACTATACAGCCAAGCTAACAATGTACAAGGTGACCCTGGCTAAAGGGTTACAATAACAGAAGGACTCTAAAAGATAAGAATTCCCCCACATTAGGTTGTACTATACAATCTTCCCATGCTGATAAAACTGCCCCCCATAGCTACCAGCTTGCATAACTAGGAAGATTAGCAGATAGACTGAAACAACTACAGATGTTCCAAACTCCTTCCACCAGCTCCAAAGGAACATTTCCCTTATACAGTAAAAATTGCTTTCTCTGAGGTTGAAAGACTGATGAAATGTAACAATAGAATCATTAGGGAGAGCTGTATGAGTTTTCAGTCAACTGATGATGTGTGACAGTGTTATTATGAGGGTTAGCAGCGAGGGAGGGAGGAGAAGGAGGAGGGAGGTTTAAATAGGTGAGACACTCTGTAATGGCGTGAGCAGCTTCTCTGTCAGACAGAGCCACTTCACTTAGTCTGTGTTCATGTCTCCTTATCTGACTGTTGGGAGAGAGGGAGTGAGGGTAATGAAGTAAGAGAGGGATTATGCATATCATGTATAATTTATAGAACATGTGGGTGTTGGGATAAAATGTACTAAAAGGTGAAGAAACAAAGCAGGTGAGAGGTGTTGTATACCAGTGAGTGGAGGGAGCCATTCGACACAGGTTTCTGAGGACCAGAGCAGCTGTCACACGAACCACCTTTGTCAGAGGAGATTCCACTTCATTCTGGAGCCAAAGAAAACCTTCCTTACTCCCTCCTCCCCCCCTCTCTCTCACACACACTCTCTTACCTCAAGAGGAGGACAATGTTTCAGTTTTGCTAGAGTAACTGCCACAGAGGGTGGAATGGGCTTGGGACCTGGACTACAATGATGGATCTGGACCAGGGAGAAATAAATGTCATAAACATTTTTACTGGCTAACTGTGTGGGAGGAAAAGTGGGCACTATCTAGAATGGTGGCCAATCCGGACAGGTGCTAAGTGGGCATTATTTAGAAAGGCAAAGTGGGCATTATTTGGAACTCCACCTTTAGATGTCGTATGAGAGAGGGTTTCATTCTCAGTGGGGTGGTGTTGCAGCCGGCCCAGTGGCAGGAAGACGGGGAGAGGGAGGAGAGAGGAGAGATGTGGCAGTTGACTGCATGGTGCAACAGGTCACACCAGGAGTACCGCATACTGTGGGAGGTGTTAGAACAAGCATCTATGAAGGACACTGTGGTTCTGGCTAATACTATGGATAAAGGACATAAGGTCATAAATGATCTATTAGTATCAGCTCCTCAGTATTATCACTACTGTCTTCAATATCAAATCCTGAGTAGACAAAACATTGGGGAAAACTAACAAAACTGACATTAAATACATTTACACAACATCAGTACAGTGTCACTGAAAATTGAGATGGAGAGAAAATTGTTCTTTATTCTTGATAAAAGCAAACCTGTTTATCCCATGTTATCTTGTGACCTTCCTGCCAGGCCTGTTTCTTGGTGAGTAGCGGTTTCTGTCTCTCCTTCCTTTGTTCCTTTCCCTCTCCCTCCTCCTTTCTCTCCCTCTCTCTTCCTCTCCACATTACTCTCCTTCAGTGGTACTGTCTTTAGCTTCCCTGTAATGAGAGAGAGAAGGTGGGTTAGGTTTAAATGCAGACACTGTGTTTGTTGTATGTTCTTGAAAAGGCATTCAGACTCCAATCAGTACTTTGCCATCCTAAAAACAGAATCACCATGAAAGAAACTAGAACTTTTTTCTAGGTTCTGCTGCACTGTATAGCTATGGAGTTTACCTAGCATATAAATTTGGATCAATATAAGTCTGACCTGAGTCAATGTAGGAGTGTTTCTGCAGCAGTTGATGTGTAGATGGCAGCAGGAGACTGGAGGACGACCCTCCTACTCCGCCAGGTAGGAGCTCCAGAACAGACCTCTTCTTCCTCGGGGCGTGAGGTGTACTAGACAGTCCTTGGCTACCCGTCTTTCTCTGTGACGACGCCTCCTTTGACCTACTGTCCGTCGCAGTGGTAGGAGGTCTGGGTCGCTTCCCGCTAGTAGCGAGAGCCGCGCCGGGAGAGCGGGGAGAAAGTTTAGGTGGGGCTCCGGATATTTCTTCTCCCTCGCCGCGCCGTGCGGCTCCGAGCGATAGAGGCGTTGGTTGGTAGACACGCTGCTGAGGTACTCCGTAGCCGGCGTACTGCCAGGGAATCTTCAGCTGCTGAGCCATCCCCGAGTAGTCAGAAGTGGTGGCTACGTGTTGCGCGTTATTTAGAACACGCAGCTACTGCGTTTGCTTGTCTGTCAGTAGCTCCGTGTAGATAAGGAAGACGATTTACTGCGAAGAGAGGGAGGAAGAATGTGTAGCGAACCCACTATTTCTGTTGCTTTGGATCTCCGCTTCGCTTTGGAAGTCTTTCTAACATCGCCGCCCCCATGATCGGCGCCGGACACCTGCTGTTTGGCGCCCGGGTAGTGTCCATGGCAACCACACCTGGGCGCATGCGCAGTAGGTACAGCAACTACAGCGCGCGTGCGTGCGCCTGAATATCAGAATCATCATTGTAGTGTATTGTAAAAACATGATGTGTGTATAATACTGAGCCCAACTTGAGCCATTTCCTACAATCAGTAGCTACTAACAAATATAGGACAGTACGCAGCTACTTGACGTACAAGTCAACCAGTTCCACTGCTATGTTGTCAGGTATGGGGTCAGAGAAACACATTCTCAGTTCCAGGTCATCACTAGTTGTCTGGTTGAGGGTTTTGGTGAAATATGGAGGATTGTGGAGAGAGCAACATGTACTGGTGGAGTGACAGTCTTCACCATCCCAGAGAGTGTCATTGGAGTGGAAGCTGTATGCTGGTACACCACTGCCATGTACATACCCTGACTCACAGAAGTAATCTTCTCCAACAAATGGTGGGATGGATGTAGCTCCATTGTCACACGGACAGTTCCATACTTGGGATATTGGTTCGTTCTCCATTACTCCATTAGCAAATGTCCAGATGTGTTGTCGAGGACTACCATGCATTACAGCCACACCACTGTTGTAGGCACTGTCAATTGTAGTTTGTCCATGCCGGTTATACCCAGCGAAGGCTTCAGGCAGTCCATACTGGTAGGCTCTGATCCTGCCACACACCTGACTGTATGGTCCTCCACTGACAGGGAAGAAGACTGAGTCACATGTCCTAGATCCAGTACTAACTCTGCCACAAGTTCTCTTGGAGTATCCAGTGAGCTGCCAGCCAGAGGGACAGTTGGTGTTGGGGTCTGTCATATCCAGGTAGACTGCACGTCTCCAGTTTGCTGTACCTCCACATGCATAACGGACACTGTTATTAACGATCTGTTCTGTCAGGCTCTGGTTCATTCTCATCAGTTCAGTAGTGATTTGATTGTCATGTTCGTCAATCTTTTGACTGAGGCTTGCTAGGTCAGACTTCATATTCTTCATGTCTTTCTCAATAGTCTCCAAAGCTGGTCCTACAACTTCATGCACAGCTGCAGCAATCCTTACAACTGCAGCAAACACATCCAGTATTGTGCAGGGCAAAATTGTGATGTCAAGTTTATCTATTCCCTTACCATCACATTGAGACTGTCCCAGCTCTACATTAGACAGTGTCACTAGACACAAGACCAGCAGAAAAGATCTGTCCATCTCAGAAGGCGTTCAGGCTCCCTGCAATGCATGCACCACTACAGCCAAGCTAACTATATGTACAAGATCACCCTCGCTTAAGAGTTACAATAACAGAGGTAAGCTAAAGAACCACATTTGGTTGCACTATACAATCATCCCATGTTGATAAAACCACCCTCCATACCAGCTTGCATAACTTGGGGAAGATTAGCAGATACACAGAAACAACTACAGACGCCTTTGAACAACCTTATGCAGATTCTCAGCAACAACAAGCTTGTGCACTAGTGTTGGTTGGTTATATCAGCACTAGTGTCACATGGACACTCGTTGCTGTGGGAGTTTGGTGAGAAAGCTGCATAAGGTTGTTCAAAGGCGTCTGTAGTTGTTGAGCCACTCGACACAGGTTTCTGAGGACAAGAGCAGCTGTCACACGAACCACCTTTGTCAGAGGAGATTCCACTTCATTCTGGAGCCAAATAAAACCTTCCTTACTCTCTCCTCTCCCCTCTCTCCTCACACACACTCTCTTACCTCAAGAGGAGGACAATGTTTCAGTTTTGCGAGAGTAAACTGCCACAGAGGGTGGAATGGGCTTGGGACCTGGACTACAATGATGGGTCTGCACCAAGGAGAAAAAATGTCATAAACATTTGACTGGCTAACTAAAGGGTAAAAGTGGGCACTATCTAAGGTGCTAAGTGGGCATTATAGAAGGCAAATGGGCATTATTGGAAACTCCTCGGTCACCTCCAGGTGTCGTATGAGAGAGGGTTTGGAGCGGCTGAACTCGTTTGACCTTTTGGAGAGAGAAACACGAACAAAACTGTACATTACACAACATCAGCACAGTGCAACTGAAAATTGAGATGCAGAGAAATTGCTCTTTATTCTTGATAAAAGCAAACCTGTTTATCCCTTGTTCTCTTGTAGCCTTCCTACCAGGCCTGTTTCTTGGTGAGTAGCGGTTTCTTTCTCTCCTTCCTTTGTTCCTTTCCCTCTCCCTCCTCCTTTCTCTCCCTCTCTCTTCCTCTCCACATTACTCTCCTTCAGTGGTAGTGTCTTTAGCTTCCCTGTAATGAGAGAGAGGAGGGTTAGGTTATTGCTATATAATTATGTTCTTGAATAAGCATTAAGGCTGCTATCAGTTACCGTTCTGTACATATGTTTTCTTGTTTGTGTTGCATTGTTGCACTGTATGCACGTCACCTAGTATACTATAAATTTGATTGCCTACTGTCGACATACATAAGTCTGACCTGAGTCAATGTAGGAGTGTTTCTGCAGCAGTTGATGTGTCGATGGCAGCCCAGGAGCCTGGAGGACGACTCTCCTACTCCGCCAGGCAGGAGCTCCAGAACAGACCTCTTCTTCCTCGTGCGTGAGGCGTACTAGACAGCCCTTGGCTACCCGTCTTTCTCTGTGGCGACTCTTCCTTTGACTTACTGTCCGTCGCAGTGGCAGGAGGTCTGGGTCGCTTCCCGCTAGTAGCGAGGGCCGCGCCGGGAGAGCGAGGAGACAGTTTGGGTGAGGCTCCGGGGTTTTCTTCTCCCTCGCCACGCCGTGCGGCTCCGAGCGGTAGAGGTGGTGGTTGGTAAACACGCTGCTGAGGTACACCGTAGCCGGCGTACTGCCAGGGAATCTTCAGTTGCTGAGCCATCCCCGAGTAGTCAGAAGTGGTGGCTACGTGCTGCGCGTTATATAGAAAACGTAGCTACTGGAGATAGGGAAGACGATTTACTGCGAAGAGAGGGAGGAGGAAAGTGTAGCGAACCCACTATTTCTGTTGCTGTGGGTCTCCGCTTCGTTCTATTGGCGCGCAGGTAGTTTCCATGGCAACCACAACTGAGCGCATGCGCAGTAGGTACAGCTACACGCGCGGGTTCACGGCCGGCTGTTTCCGCGCGCGCATTGAAAATTGTGACAAAAACTAACGTCACGGATCCTCACGTGATAGCCCTTGAATCTATGGAAACGTAACATAGCGTTTTCTAAACGGTTCGTTTAGCGTTCCTCTAACGTCGCGGGAACGCGTGCATAGCTTGCATTTTTAACACGTGCGTGTTCAGGGAAGAAAGGGCGTCTTGCTCGTTCAACTCCCGTGTTGATGGGCAGAAGCATGCCCGAGTTATAAACGGGAAAAGTTCCATTTAGGTTTTCGAGCAAACCACCACCATGGAGGCCAAGCTGGAGTTTTTAGGGCCCGTTGACTACCGATAGGGTAAGCAGTGCTGTTGTTTGAACGAGGTCCTATAAACCTCAGTTTGCTAACCGGTTTTGCGCGCGAGTAGTCACGCTCTTTTTAAGCCTATGTGCACGGCACGGTATAGAGGTGCGTAAAGCTGTGCATTGTAGTTAGTCTTTCTTCTTTCTCCTTTTCACAGATGGTTGACATGACGTAAGCTCTGGGCATATTTGCCTGTGGTGCTCCATTAGGACTCCTTTCAACCTCTGAACTCGGTCAGGGATGTTGAGGTATGAGGGAGTTATGTGGTTAATGCGGCGTGCACACTCTCTGCTCCTTGTTCCCCATGAAGCCAAACCCTATCCTCCACTGTCGCAGCTCAAGGGATCACATGCTCCTCTAACATGT